TTGAGGCTAAATATCATGATGATTATCCATGGTGGTCGAGGTATCTACGCTACACCTTTCAAAGGCTTGAACTTTATAATAGGAATGGGTTGAGATGGTTTGCAGTTGAACTTCGATGATTAACAGGCTTGCGCCACAGTAATTGTTGGATACTTCTGGTTCGTTTACATGCATCGTAGCAGGTATTTGGAAGACAGTATTTGTCGTACAGCTCATCGGTACGTTCGCTCGACAGGGTGGGGCTGGAACGGCCAACTAGTACCACGACTCCAGCAGGTCCGAGGTACAATCGGAGCCTGAATTCCGATCACGGATGGTAGTAAGGATTTCTCCTCCTCCTCTCCTCTACTAACATCTCGACCTCAACATAAGCGCGTACACACATTACGCACACGATAACCTCTGCTCGCACGAAACCCAGAACTGCGATCCCAATGTCGTACAATGCCTATCATGTCAACGAATGAATCCCAGCACCAAGGGCAAACCCGGCGTTTGGCGCTACCCCTGCTTTTTTTTTTGCTGGAACGTAACCTGTTACAAATTTGTTCCCTTAGATTCGATGCAATCATCCTCACTAGGCCATACGAGGAGAGGAGTGTCTCTCGAGAACTGCATTGCTGGACAACTCGGACCACCGTGGGGCCCTGCCTGAGTCGCCAGAAGCTGGTTCGGGTCCTATCACGCGGTAGTGTTCAAACTAGTTATCCTTGACCTACATCTATGATGTCGATCGCTCAGAAAAGCTTTCCGATGTGGGGGACTCGGGCTTGATGTATTTCCGATACTATTTTGTGGTTACTCTCGCCAAAGATAGCCCCCCTCCATACTTGCGCAGTGTGCCTATAACTCCTGTGGTAGTAGACTTGGGAACGATCTCGTGTTGTAACTCGTCGGGATATCACTTCCCTTCGCATCGCTTCGTTTCTTGTGGGTATGGTTCAATGCAAGCTGTACGTTCGGCCAACGACGGATCCGCAGGGTCCATGTTCTCTGTATCATCGTTTCGATGTGCGTGCTGGGTCCCTAATTCGAAGAGTCTCTTAGCTGCGTTGCGATCGGGGAGTGTATTGAATAGTTTGAGTGATAGGGTGATCTGTGACGTCTCCACACACGTTGGAGCTCTGATCAATAACGCGACCTGCAATTCTACCACACTATAAACATCAGACGATGAGCTACTCAAAATTATGATCCATCGATGTTGTCCCAATTCCCATCGATTCATCGATCATCCTCCGGTGTTGTGATCATGAAGGCTTAAATGTTTCCTCTATCCTTGGCCTAGACGACAACTTCGGAGACAATGAGTGACACCGAACCTACATCGACGAGTAGTACTCGGGGTGAAATTAGTCAGGCTGTCTCGACGCAATATATCCCTGAACTACTCTGACAGGTCCTGGACAGATTAAAACGATCTGATAGCAAAGCGCGCGCGTCGATATCTTGTTCCACGACACTCTCGCATCAAAGTATCTCTCCTCGCTGGTTGATGGTTGACCCGGATTATGGAGTTTATTGGTTAGCTTTGAGAGTATTTGGACCAAACTGGGGATGGAATTTTTGTGAAGAGCTCTTCGACACTAGTGTTTTGCGTAATCATCCCTAGGGTTTCTCTAAGTTCGACATCGTTACGTGCTCTGCTTCTCAATTTAATAATGTTTTCATGGGCTGTTGGTTGACTAGCCTTCGGCGGCCAACTGCTTCTCAAAATACCTGCCCATTCCTCTAGTAGATAAGACGCGAGGCAGAATCGTAGCGCCCACCTCCGGCCATCTAAACACATGCCTCAATTTATAGCACGTAAAATCGCATCCAAGCGTGAGTGTGGATCGATGCTATATTTGTGCCCAGCGAGGCTGACTCGTGATCGACTGGCCCGGGTATATACGACCAAGTTCTGCAATTATATGTTCGATACGATCCGAACAGATGAAACCAGCATTTATCTCTTTTTACACTCACTTCCTTCTAGGTTGCGCACGAGACAATAAGACAGGTGCCCAAGGTGCTCTGGCTCAGGCACACGTCCCCGAAAGAACTTTCGTGAGCCTTCCGTGCAGCATGTCATACTGAATCCCTTTCAACCTACTTCATACGCGATCGGCGTTAGCAGGTTTGCATGTTATGTTGGACTCTGGACTGCAATGGGGGAATGTACGCTATAATCTATAACCTGAGAGCATTCAAATCTCAGTAGGGTTAGCGATACTGCATAGACAATAGCATACAGTTATTTTGAATGCCTTTCAGGGTCAACAATTTCTTTCCGCGGATAATTTAGCGTTCGTGACCATGCTGCCAGCAGAGATCCTGTCCATCAAATCCATCGTGATTGGCAGACGCGGGCCTTGATTATGGTCTCGGCAAGTTTCTGTTCCCAAGCTCCATCTGCATATTATTCAGAAGTCCAAGTTCTATGGCTTTGGCTCGTTTGGTACGTTGTTGGAACCATGCGCCGCAATAAAATCAAGAGCTGGGGGATCCGTTGTTAGAACTGAGAGTTAGTGTGAGTCATGCCCTTCGACCCTGGTATATTTTTGATGTCTTTCGTCAAAGTTTAAAGTTCACAACATATCTTTCACGCTCCACTGATTTGTGGATATGTTTCGTGATCGTAGAAAAAACATCCGAAGGCCAGTGCTTCCACACGGCCCTGATCTTCTTAAACACTTCTTTTACTCAGGTATATTGAACACCTTGCTCAAAATGGCTTTGATCTTGTGCTACGCTCAAGAAAGAACTGTATTCACGTTGTTTAGGTTCCAGAGAAAATGGCCAAAAATCCAAGATGATCAGCTTACTGTCATTTCTGCATTGATACAGAACCTTGAAGCTTGAATAGTATTCTTCTTCCTGTGGAACATGCAGGCATGCGTCACGATGATCTACGAGGTGCAATGATGACCACATAGCCGATATCTATTATCGATACAGTATGTCGGAGCGTCCTATTTCATACATATGAGATTCACCTTCAGGGAGCCGTACAAGTTGAAACCTCATCGCTCCCCGGAAAGTTGGAAATAAATCACTCTACCTCCACTTCAAAGAACTAGGCGATGATCTGTTTCCAAGAAGCGATCCAAAATGTCAAGAATTTCACGCGTGCCAAACTTGTTCACGCAAATAACGTTAGA